CCACTCTGCGATCGGTTGAACGAAAGTTGTTTAAACTGCTGAGCGCAAGCATACCGGCATTTTATTGGCAGTTTGCTGTGGGTAACGCAAGTCATGCATTCACGGGAAGAGCCGACAGAATGTCAGCGAAACACGCGTGTATGGGCCTCTAGCAGGTATCTGTGCTGTTAGAATGGTATCCTCTAACCCTAAAATATACTACTAGCTGTCTGTCGGCAGTTAATGAATATTACGCGGTCACCCCGCTGTGGCTGATGGACTTTGGCCCATATATTCATACATCAAATTTCGGTCTGCACCTACGGACCTAGAATATACCGAGCTATTCCAAGCTAGCAGTTAATCTCTGAGGAAATCAGAAAGAAACGATCTCTTTAGTTTTGCCAGCCACTGCGCCTGAGTCCGCCTGCGGTTGTCCTAACTCTCTCCCGTCTCTTGCCACCAAGCCCAGGTGGATGAAGGTGGGAGAGTGTGCAGCTGATACTGCGTTAGTCTGTCATCATTTTAAACTAATTGACCTGGAAGTCACCGTCCTGCGTCCACCATGCTGTGGGACACATTGTGGACATAGCCCTCAACGACGGTCAAACTGTCACTTTGACAGATAATACAGGGGACGTAGGGCCTTAATAGCTACTGATGGAAGGGCAACACTTGTCGGAACTACCCAAAGCAAAGTAATGTCTGGTCGTCCGTGACATTTAGTGATATCTGAATGCCGCTGCCTCATTGGCATTTGTCCATTATGTACATGTACCGCCTGGTGGCCTCTCAGCTGGCAGGATCGAACGCTTCAAGTTAATATTTTCCCCAGGACCGTAAGTGAGGGTGTAGAACTCTTTTGATTTTGTCTTTCGACTTAAGTACTCCTGATAGATGAGATTTCCAGCAGTAAGAACCATTTGATTATAGACAGAATGGCATAACCAACAAAGTCAAGGGAGACTGGAATGGTCATTTCTGGCTTATTAGCCGTCGTCATCCAGCCATACCCAAGCCCGAAGTGTGGCGTACCCGAGGCTCGAACTCGCGACCTGTTAGTTAGATGTCCACGCCTCTAACCGCTGGGCCGCGAGCCCGTTGCCCCGTCGGTTTCGATCAGGAATACACAATGGTAGGGGGCGCTCACCGATCGTTCTTACGGAACTCCCTCGTTCCGTTGTGCCTTACGGGTTCTCTCTCGAGCCCAACCAGCAGCCGCACAGCGGCGCATGTCGGTAATGCCATTCTGCCTATACCATGCGCTGCTGTGTGGCTGCTGGTTGGACACGAGGGAGAGCCCGTAAGGCACAACGGAACGAGTGAATTCTGTAAGAACGATCGGTGAGCGCCCCCTACCACCGTTTGTTTCTGCCAGTAGATTAAGTGTCCTACATAGTCATCCGATGGTAACCACCAGACAAAGCACCACCCTCTCCCTACAGATGTCGGGAAAACTCTGCCTTGAGTCATTTTAGTAGCCATTTTCCTCTGAGGACTGGTCGGCGCTGCTGTAATTATGGGGAAGGTTGACCTTAAAGACATCAAACCCCGGACCGCACATGCCGACTGACATGAGTAACTGGAGAACGTAGATCATACTGTGTGTCCGTATGAAGAAGCCAAATGCACTGTAGATCAAACGATTCATTGTTTGCTGTTTTATTTGATGTCCCGTTCATAGTGCTGTTAGCATGGCCTACAGCTTGCCAGAATGGAAGCGGTTTCAGCTGAAGCCGATCGAAGTCCTTAAATTACATCCGAGTTCAGCCTTAAGGTTAGGAAAAATTTCCGTCTCTGTCGGTTCTCCTGTCTCAGTGGTTTCAGTCATAAGGAGAATCTGGCCACTACGACCGTCAAGCCCAGTTGCGAACGGGAAGAAAAGAAGCGAAACGCCAGTTGGGGGGGAGGCGTTGTACTCCGCACAGAACTATTAGAGAAGAGAAATGCAGGAGTTGGAAGTCGGAAGAGGGCACGCCCGACGCCGCGAGAGTGACGTCCGCCGGTGAGGCAATGGGCCAGTCGTGGTCATGTCTGAGTCAGCCTCGAAAGTGGTTGACCAGTTTGAACAGCCGGCATTGGCCGACAACCAGATTGTAATTGGTGTGCACGTACAAGCAGTCGCGATAAACTCAGCGTTGCAACATGCTCCCGGCTCAAAGTTGAGCCATTGCATCCTCTCCTGCTATACGACTGCCTGCGAGGGCTGCGAATTGAGACGGAAGGCGCACCATGACGAACATGTTCCGTACCCTGATTGCCGAACATCCTTCCCACGACAGCGAATACTCTCAAACGTAACTGACAGGACATGGGGCCTGTGACCCAGTGACAGAGGCTTGAACTTAATGAACCATGGCTAGAGGATTCGGGTTGGAGGCTGAAACTGGCTGGCCGACGACGGCTAAGAGGTCAGAAACGGCCATCTCATCCTTCCTTTTCTTTATCGACACCCAATCGAACACCAGCTACTAGCCGCCTGCGGTGGTTGTAGACTTAGCCCCAGGGCTCAAGGGTAAGAGGGTGTCCCGCAACCTTCTCGGCGGACTTCCTTTCTGTGATAGCAATCTTCACTTTTTCCATCGGGTTGGGCAACTTCGGGCGAAGCAAACAGCCAGATTGTGATTGGCGTCATTGATTAGCCAGTCATAGATGGTCATGCGGTACTTCCTGAGTCTTATTCATTGTGCAGGTGAAACGTCTGGCGGGCCAGTGAGTTCGGTCACATTCAAAATGGTCTTCACTCAGTCTTGCTATTTATTTGTAAGCAGACAAGGGGCCAATCTTTATGGCCTCTGCTCACTAAGTTACAGCTGACGAGTTCAATTAAATACGGTTTCTTAAAAGTAATAGCTTGCAAGGCTATCAAATAGGGGATGAAGCTGTCCCCAGGATTAGGAGAGATTGTATTAGCTCCTGCCTTCTGGGAACTTACCGATGAGAGTCGAATCGGGTTTACGTATGCTTGCACATGATTGGCGCACACCGAAAGAAACAAATACAAGGTCGGCTAACGCGCTCGCGTCCTTTCCCGTCTTGTATGGCGAAAGTATGACTGATCCTGCGCAGGCGACCAGTACTGTCCCTACCAGGGGTGGTTCCCGATGAGTGAACAACAGTTGGGTCCCATTTCAGCCAGAGGAAACTCCTCCGGGACCAACCGCATACTAACGGACACCCAGTAGGTGGAGAAGTTTTAACGAAAGCATTAATTATCATCTCTACCTTCTTCATCGCCATCAGCCGGGCGTAGTTTCCAGGACAGGTAGGATGCAGATTTGGAAGCTCCTCAATTATTGCGATCTTTTCTCTTATCACCTTTTTTCATTTGAGTTGTGACTTCAAATCCCACAGGGGAGCTTTCAGACGGGACCTAGTTCGGACTAGAGAATGAACTGAGGATAAAATCTAGGCTTACGATAGATGACCAATCTCATGAAATGTTAATCGAAATTCTGAAATACGTCTTAGATTAGGAAGCATTACATAAGTGGAGTTTAGATGCTGATTAAACTGTGGCATAACCCCGTAATATGTCAGACACGCCAGGGGGTTGGTTTTTAGATGCATTTCTTCTCCGTCGCTTGAATGAAGCACACTTGGCAGAAGTGACTACTTAAGTGGTATGTATATTCTCTCTTTTCGATGCTCTTATCAGTTCGGGAAATATTTCGCAGGAAACGCGAACACAAACATTATCTTATGATCATTTGGTAGAAAATCAGGTCTTCTACAAATCTTATAGTAGAATGAAGCTTATCTTTTGGTTTAAACATTTTCTGGCTGACATTTTTTTAAATGGCATAATGGAATGTGTTTTTCCTTACATGGGAAGCGCACAGTTTGAAGACTTAAGACCCTAACCGAAAGTGCAACGGCAAATCAAGTTCATTATTCGGGAATCGAAAAACTTTCTAAAACCAAAAGCCGCCCCTTCTTCAAGCCTACAATCCGAAGGCGTGATTTTCTACCAAATGAGTACAGGATATAACATTCCTGCGCATGTCTTCCACAAAGCACTTCTGGATTTATAAGAGCATCGAGAATCGATAAAGTAGCTATTTTCGCCGTGCGCTTTGTGCGGGTCATCCAAAAACCAACATCCTGACGCATGAAATATTACGGGACCACGACACAAGTTAACCCCGCGTAAGCAACTCCTCCTAACCCAAAGCACATTTCAGAATCTCCGACAACATTTTATGAGATCGGTAACTGGCAGTATGACAAACATTAGGGTGTGACCTAGGGTTAAGACGAAGTTCCCGTAAAGTTAAAGACTGACGTCATGATTGTAATTTAGGGTTATTATAGGGTTGGGCTTACGTTCTACCTAAGCCTAGTCCTAGCGCTAACCCCAGTCCCAAGCGCAAGCCTAGTACTATTTCTCACTCTAACGTTAGCCGTCAACGTATCTCTAGTCAAACCCTAACCGCTCGTCTAAAGTAAATCAGTGACACGCTCTCCACAGAAGTCATAATCCCACCTACTCAAACGAACGAAAGTAGCGAGTTAGTTGGCTTAGTAGATGGTCTCTAAAGATGCAGTTAAATCCGGCAGGCCTGAATTCCAGTCAACCACACGAAAACGAGCCGAAGACCAAAGCTACGTTCTGCCTGGGAAAAAAGTCCGTTCTAACTATCAGTGAGAGATTGTATTTTATGCAAATCAGGGTCAGACACGGGGAAAAGGACCCCCTCCCGTACTGCAGGTGGTTTTGCATTAAATTCAAGGAGATACCTATTCTCGTGTCCCAACTTTAACGCTGGCCCAACCCCTCTGGAACGTGGCGCAAGGCCACCAGTAATACGGGATGGTCCGCATTCATGCGCCCTACCTACGGACTCTTATGACAGAGTCTACTAAACCTTTTCCCACAATAATCCCCACCCCCCTTTAGTGTTATCCAAAGACCCAAATTTGAACAAATGAACGCTCTGGCCGGCAGGTAACAAAATGTCAGTCCACTGGCAAAAGAAAAGCAGGGCAAATTTTATGTACAGAGAGCGTAATAGGTCGGCTCAGAATTCAAGAAAGGCCTTGTAATAGACGCAGTTTGTCGGAGATATGGCACCGCCCGGTCGGCAGTCCAGACGGCTCTGAAATAGGAGGAAAAGAGACCATACGTAAATAGTTCAGACTGTTTAAATCGTCTGCTTTAAATGCGTCCTTGTCTCCAATCCTAGCTGTTTAAATTGTCAGCATGTGGAACGTCTCCGGAAGAATCCCTAACCAAAAACATATTCTGGGCAGTCCTGTACGCAGGACTTTGAATGGTTTATAAACTGACAAAGGGTGTCGTAGTAAGACAATGCCACCATATCAATTACTGAAAGGGAGGAATCTACGTGAAATTTGTTGCCTCCAAAGGTAGTTCCGTGCAACTTTCCGAGTTTTAAATTCCACCTACCACAAAAGGAAGTTCTCGACAGATTCTGCAGCAAGTGCTCACACTTAGAAGGGAAATTGTTTTCCTTTAAAGCTGAGAATTCCATACTGAGACAGCGAATAGTGTGTATGCAGAGGCATTAGTCGAATAGTTTGGAAAGGAAAGAATCGTAGTCAAGAGTGCAAAAAGATTGATGCAAATAAACGAGGCGAAGACTGCCCACTTGCTAAATCCGGTAGATCCCAAGGAGCGGGATGCAACGGATATTCGGCCAACCGAATTCTTGTCAATACATAGGCAACGTCCAATGCCAGGGGCCCGACATTCTGGACTCGTACTCTGATCTACCATTACAGACAGCAACAAGTGGAGATAACGTACTTGGTTGCGTATCAGCTGCATCAATACTTCAGCCCTGTGAGTCAACTACGGTGACCTTACAAAGGCGTTTAGCGAAGAATCGCAAACGACGCGAAGTATCGTATCTGGAGTGGCTGAGGTCAAATACCATTACCACTAATAGTTAAAAAAATTGGGCATAAGGCGGAACAGAATAAAGGCCTGGTTGATGAGCAGCACAAGTGCTGTGTCCTTGTGAGGTAGCCAGACCACAGAAACCCGCTGGACTGAGAGGCCACTGTGGACTGCAGAGGTGACGCGGCAACAGGCGACTCTTCTTCACGCACTGAACTCCGAAGACAGGGTGGCAACTTAAAACATCTCGGCGATAGCCAATGGAGAGGTGAGTTTATGCGCCTTCGGCTAACGAAAAATTTACCGGACAGATGGTGCAGGGGACGCGCGCCAGGAGTGCGAGGCTCGGTGTCCGAGGAGCGATGCGGTACATGGCCGACGAAACGTCCGAGGTGTCAGGTGCGTCTAGGTCGGTTCGGCCGCCAGACCGACGCATCTCCAGTTCCCCTCCAAACATCAGGGCGTCGAGGATGGTCTTCACGTCGGACTCATTCAGGGGCACCTGAATGGGAGACGGTAGAGAACCGGCGTGGTACAAAAAGACCCGCAGGGGTGGCAAAGGCACTAACATAAGCAACAGTTAACAACCAAAAGTATACCACTACAGACAAAGGCCCCAGAGCTTATTCGACGGCTGGCAGGGAGTAAGGCTCTGAATTGAAAATGGAAGATGGCAGAGAAAGTACACAGAATTCAATTGAATGCCACAGATAAGAAAATCTCAACAGTTGGGATCTAGCACATTTGAATATGTCTACGATAAGCGGCAGTTCGCACTCGAGGCTAAATTCGCAAATTTCTTAGTAAATATACGTCTCGGTGGAAAAAAAGTTTCCAAGCGAGACGGAGAAATGATTTACAAATTAACTCCCTCTTCTCCCAACCTGGTGTCCCACAGGTCAGAATGAATGGCGCTCTAGGCCATCCTCTAAAGCGAGGACAAAATCGAAACACCGGGATAAGGGAAATATCAACTAGCTCAACATCATCACGAAGATGTTTGCGAACCGGTCTCTTGGGATGTGTTCACACCTCCATGCACTAATGCAGGTTGGGCAGATCCACGAATGTGGCCAAACCCGAATCAAAGAGTGTTTTCAGTAGATGACTGACTAACACCTTAATTCTACTAAAAAGTTCGAGTTCATTTACAGATGCACCATGTCAGAGTTACTGAACGTTGACGACACTCATTGTGGCTCCTCGAGTTAGTCATGTTATACCGTCAACTGACGGGAACATGAGGGGGATTAAAATTCCAGTTTTCCTGCAAATTACTCTCTTGAGCTAGACAACAAATGCGCTTTTGACCATAGCACTCTAGAACCAGTATTGAGCTTAGTCGGGGTGGAATGCCTTCGTAACAGACGATAAGTATTTCGGCGGTGAGAACCTCCTTCGAGGATGCGAAATCCGCTCATGATTCCAAAGTCCCCGAAGCCCTAAATCCGAGGTTGCCAGTGAATTCTGCAAAGATCAGAGCATTACACAAAGGTTTCAAACCGCAGGACACGTCCTGCAGTCCCTCTCCAGTTAAATTAGAAGACTCGATGAGGCCAGCTTTTTCATCTGGCTAGATATCGCAGTTTCTGGGAAGATAATGACGAGCGTCAATAAAAAATTCCATTTAATTGGCGCGCAGCGTGTTCTATGGTTCCTAGAAATGTCTGCACTTTAGTCACGAGATTCAACAGAAAACGCAGAGCAATATATTCGGCTATAGACAGACCTATCGTGCTTCACAGATGCTAAACGTGGTTTCCGAAGCTGCTGAAATGATGCAGTTTGAAGTGTTTGACAAATTATGCCTGAAGACAACATTTCAACGTTGACGGACAAAATGCACTTTGAATACAGTCCGAAGCGCCTCGCAGCAGTTTTGTGAAAGGTCTTTGCCTCGGATTGTTCCAGCACGAACCGTAGTTGAACCGCTTAGTCGTCACAACTGATAAGTAAAACATCAACGTGACAAAGACTGATTGCTAATTATCGCTTGATCACAGAGTATCAGTCGTACTACTATCTGGTCCTGCGGACATTGCAGTCGGTCCAACCAGTACTAACGGTAGCTGTCAGCACATTTGAAAAACGTGCCAGCCAATTTACTTGAAAATAAACGTCTACTCACTATTTAGAGTAGCTGGGTTTGGGTAAGGTCAGATCTACATAGTTAAGCGATCCACAGCCGATAACAACCAACTCACCGTGCAGAGTTTCGCATTTGTGATGAAACGGTGGATCTCTTCAACGGATGCGTAGGAGGAATTTCTGCTAATCAAAGGATCCAGAACGTGCGACGCCGCATCAGCCTGTGGTAACAATAGACTCGGAGGTAACTTAAAAGTTATACTAATACAAACGCGATGCTTAAAACGTATAGCAGCAGGCGATAGTTAGACGGCTGGGCACGTAATAGGATGTTTTGGTCTTCGCTAGGACTGTGTAATAACTCTAGTCTTGTGCATACCATCACTATCAAGCTGTTTTGGAGTCGGGGTGTTGATTATTTAAAACATTCTTGCGAGGAGGCAGAGCGTGTCAAGTTCGTGTAACTCCTGCACAAAAACGCTTCACAGAAGCTCGTGCTGTACTGAAGCCTTCACCTCAATGTCGTGGGTTCGAATCCCACGGAGGCGCCGAGTTTTTCCCAGTTGAGTCAATATGAATTATTCAAAATCTGCCAAAGCATCTAGGAAAAAACACTCGGTCTTTCATAATGTATGCAAAAACTGCAAACACTTCCCAAAGAATCGGTATTTTTCGCTGTCTACGACATGCCTCTAATGCACTAGAGTACACCCAACAAGAACTTGCCACAGAGTCAAAACTACAAGAGATCTGAGGCTTAAAAACCTCCAGCTTCTGGAAGGCATTGTCAGCTTCAGCATGTTGGGGATTATGAAACGCGTTGCTGGGGTTGTCACGATCGTACGCCCCGCCTCCATGCACCTATTGCTCTATTAAATGTCACCGAAGAGTGGACATTTAGAAGGCTGTAATTTGTGGTGCATCCACAAGTCTATTTGGCCAATCTAGACGAGAATGAGGCGGGGACGAAGTGGCTGAAAGAACGCGGAGCATTCAAGGAGATAATATCTATGTAGGTTCGGTACTCTTGTTGGTTTCTTGCCGAACTGTAACGGGAGTGTAGCGTAGAGCAACGTACTTCAGTAGCTGAAATTAGAAAGTTTCAACGACGAAAACGAAAAACGCCAAAAAAGAGGGAGGGATGCACTTGAAAAATGCAAATTAAAAACATTAATTTAAGAAAAGGCACTTATTATGCAGGATAGGTTTGAGTCCGGCTGCTCAACGTGTAAAGAGGTACGCGGATAGGGTCCAGAGACCTCGGAGATATATACGGTCTGATAAAGCCAGCGGATTTAAATATTAACCGTTTTACTATTAAATGACTGATCACTGGGGAATTATGAGTATCCCATTTATGCGTACACGCGTTGACCCCTCAAAATACACAGATTCAACGTGCGTCCATAATTTACTAGTTTTCTGTTAAGGACTTCCATTTGACGTTAAATTACTCACCCATAAAACGACAAAACGCAACGTTCGCTAGAAATGTTTTTTTAAACGACAGTTCTGCTCACCTTGTCCTGAATATACTTTAGGCAGGCTGTTCGCAACATCGCCACAAACTCTCCATCCACACCAGTTTCGCCGGCGAAAAGGGTATTTGCAGCCAACGCACGGCTAGGTTCCAGTTCCGCCAAAAGGTATATCTTTTGCTTGTTGCCGGACAAGATTGGCAGTTCTTTAATTAGCTTCTTGCCCACGAGAGCCTTCAGGATGCGCGGCAACCGGTTCTGCGGCAACTTTGTGTCTTGCGAAATCACCTTCAGTGCAGCTCCCTCGTTGCCATTCTTGCGAATGCAGTTGTACACCAGACACTCCTCGATGTCTGTCAGGGACTTCAACTTGCTGCCATTAATTTTTAAGATAAGAAAACTGACGGCCTACTCCATGTTGTCGATTTCTCGTAGTCGCCAGGAGAGGGTTCTGTCTGGATTTACCATCACCTCTACTTGACCCTCTTTCTGCATTCGATTGAGGACGGGAAGCATTTGCGTGAGAGTTATATCAGAAAGTTCATCCTCAAAGGTCTTCTGGGTTACAGGATCGGTGTGCGAGGAGAGAACAGACAGTATCCTAGCCCAATTCGGCGTCAATGAGTGATAACCTACCTTTCATGCAGTGCTGAGGGATCCAGCGGTTCTGGCTTTGTGCTTTTCATTATTCAAGGTCAAGTTGCCTTAACGCAAAAGGAGAATGTTGTTACCAATCGCTTGCTATCGGAGGGAGTAGAAAAGTGCGTAATTAAGCCTCAACAAACATCCTGCTAGCACGCGCTATCCTTATGAAATGTCCTTGGTTCGAAAGAAACTACCGCAATTCGACAGAACCCATAGGCATTAGCCTAACTTTCGTAGTCCTTGCATCTTAAAGTTTAAGGATTTACTTACGCCCTGTCGACATGTTAAGACGCGTCTTCTGTGCATTTATTTTGATCCATCCATAGAACACTAAAAAGAGAAAACTATGGAGATTCGGATCATATGACAATTCCGCCGTCGTTGCCCAGATGTCCACGGTATGCTCCACAGCAAGGTGTTAGCAGGCACGGCGACTGGCGCGTGAATTAGTTTATAGTGCGAGTGGGCTTGCACAGCATCTGCCGCACTCGCTTCTCCCCACCTAAGCCCGGCGTCAAGACATAGTTAAGAATACCGAACGCGGGAGAGGGCGCAGGTGGCTGGCACGACCGAGCCCGCACCTAGATGTAGCACCACACCTCCTGGTCCGCAACAAGCACTTGACCAGGATTCTAACCAGCAACGAAAATAGGCCAGAAAGAGAAGGGTGACATAGGTCACTGGGAAATCATGCACACGACTTGTATACCCAGCGGGAGCGCAAGCGCATGCGCCGGAACGGAACCAAGTGCCAGCGAACACCAGGCTGTGGGGGCCATGGTTTGCTAAATCATGGCACGGCAGGCACACACAATCCTTAAAGGCCAGAAGAGTGAGACGCAGCCCTGCATTTATTCAGATCCTATACCACAATGTAAACAGGCGCGGGAGTAGAGAGCGAACTTATAAGTTGCAATTTGGCAATTGCTGATAGTTCGACAATGATTCCTGGAGAATTGAACAATCGCCATCTTATAGAATGTGACATTACTTTAATTGTTAAAGTTTTCATGGAGGCGGAAGACTGCGATTACCACAGGCCGGAAACTTTCGCATACTTTTTATGACGATCAATGTCGAGATGAACAAAGCCGAAAATACTACATAGGGGCTAGGTGAGAAAGTTTCACCGTGCTAAATACTGTCTGTTTCGTGGGAAGTACATGCGGAAAAGTCAGATGATTAAGAAGGTGGCCAAAACTCAGTATTACTTAAATTTTGGTAGACCCCTCAAAACGGAGAGGCCTAGTGAAGGACAGGACAAGGAGGAAACATGCCCTAAAACGGTAACCTTATATCCAAAGTGGCTTGCCATATTAGAATATTCCCATTAAAAGCATTTGCGTAAAGTAGTACCCTCCATCTTGTACCTAACAAGTGCATCAGGAATTTTGATTCGTTAGATAAGCACACTAATTTGTGACTAAGTGGCCTAGCGCGATCAATGTTATTCATTGGCATGATTCTAAAACAATATATTTTCGAAATAAACATTTTCGATTCGATAACACAGCAAATCTGTCATGAGGTGAGGTCGAAGAATTTTCTTGGAGTATCCAGTAGCGAACCTTATCAACTGTGGTGAATTTTGGCACTGAATAATTCGGAAGGACTAGTAACAGGACAGTGACACCCGAAATGATCGCAATGTACAATTAGGAGACAAAGCTCTACTTATTCGCCACGCGTAATACGACTTTAAGGGTCCGGATTCACCATAGGCATATGCATCAGTATAGCTGTAAGGTTTCACGAATGTGTGAAATATGTGGCCGACTGTGTTACACTAACGACGAACAGTTAGCAAGGAACTGTAAACTTGCTGGTCTTTTCACTAGAAAGAGCAAGGTCAAGGATCTTCGACAACTAACACCGAAAATGAAGGTATACCCGTGTTCCAAAAGTCTAGAGACAGGACTTGACCCTTATATAAAAGCGTTTAACTGTGGAAAAAATATGCCATTCAGTCAAAAAATCGCATATGCTTTTGGTTGAACGGGACATTATTTCAGTCCGAAAACTGTCAGTCACAAATTATATCGACTGCTGGGACGGCCCACGATGGTATACTTAACCCCGTGATCATACAGTCCATGATTTATAAGACGAAAATCCAGATAATTAATGTTGTAAATTCTACGCAAGCGTAAAACAAAAAGGACTCTATGTCCTTACAGAGCAGCACGTCTGAGCAAAGAAACCGTAGCTTCTAAATATTGTCGCACAAAGCAGCCCATTTAAACGACCTAACGCGAGCTTTTTGACGTGCACTACGCCCACCAAACTTTTATAACTCCAGAGTGAAGTTTTACAAGCAACTCCAATGTACAAACCCTCTCCCATCTAGCTTACCTGTTCGGTGCAACTTTTCACAGAAAAATTCAACTATATGTCTTTAAGAGACATTCGGCCAAAAGACAATACGTTTTTATCGCCATAAAATTACAAACTTGAGACCTTACATGCATGCATTCGAGCGCGCCGCATATGTCTACGTGAAGGCATATATTTATATTCTCAAAATTTCTAGCTAGGCAATATGTACCGTGGTAGATCAAAGTGGGTCATATCCTAGCTTCCTAAGCTATCGGCAACGGACACGTACAAAGTTCCGTACTGTTTTGCGAAAACAAAGCGAATATTAAGTACTGTCGAAACAGTCCGTCAATAACTATGAATCTGGAGGTATGAATACCATAGGAAGGGCTGAAAACAAAATGAATATTAATGAAATACGTAGCCGGAAAGATTGGAAACCGGACTTAGGGGACACACTTTGAGGTCATTAATGAATACCTGTAAACTGAGAATGTCACAATTAGCCCGGGATGTGTCCTGATACCGATGCAATTTTCGTATTAAAGAAGAAACAGACTTCAATGTGCAAAGCAATCTGGTCGGTGCTATAGTGTATGGCTATTAAAAATGTGCTTCGTTTGTCGTAATGTCCACCAAAAACCCTTGCACTGTCCCGGTCAGCGTCTTCATGAACGGAGGCTTGGTGTACTGTCGGGCTTGCTTTATTACAAACCGTGAGCTATAGGCCTTTGTTTGACGTACAGGCCTAGGACTTTTAGGGAAGTGTCATTGTATGCTGGGTGGGGCCCAGGTCGAACGAGACAACCGTTGGGGGTAGCTAACGCCTACGCTTTCTTTTGCATCAAAAGTCTGAAGCGGGCAGCATCCCTCCAGCGGCACCTCCCCTATCATATATGGCATCGAGAGAGGATTGCCTTGTCCCCCCACACGTGGTATTAGGGATCGCCCTATCATTGTGAGTGTTTCACTCCTCACAGCAGTTTTGATATCCTTGTCAGCGTCTACGCCAAGGCGATGGCAGATCTCGACGGCGCGAATGACAAATTTCGCGAAGATCTGCATAATCTCACAATGAACGAACCGAAGAGAGACGAAATGACTGTACTTGAGAACTTTAGCGACTGCCCCGGTACGGACCACACTAACCGGGAAAAGCTGCTATGTCGTCATTGGATCGGCGAATGTGACAGCAATGGCTTGCTTCCCCTGAAAACAAGCACACAAGACGATTTTATCTTCACTACTACATACGTATGCCGTCCAAACTTGGAACAACGGCATGAATGCATCGTCACTCATGTCTCAGCCAGCTGCTGCCCTAAGTTCTTCTTAGAAAGCGTGAGCAGTGTGGCGTGCTATGAACGAAAGTGGCGTATAGAGCAGGATATGTATGAATCACTACTCTGTCGGCCTAGAGATGAGGCCCCTAATTAATCCCTGCAGACGGCTGGAAGGTAAAGGATAGTCAGAAAATTAAATACTGCATTATCGGATACGTCTGAAAACCGATTCGATATTGGCAAATGCATGACTTTCCAAGTGGAAAGAGTTAACTTCGCGAGATAAAATGCTATCCTTGGAGTTTAACGGCAGGAACCGCGAGGTGCCATCGGGCTACAGTGGTAAATGTACCCTGTACTGTATGCTGACAGCAGCACGACTACTTTCACGAACACAAATACAAAATTCGACGCCTTCCATCGGAGAAAGATAACCTACACAACCTGTGCAGTTAATAGGACCACCGCCAATAGGTCCGTAGTCTCTCAGCACCGAAGGCTACTGAAGCACAGTTGGGGGAGATGACAGATGACTGGTTAACTGATAAGGCTGGAGAAGTTCTAGAACACTCCAACCTGCGCGAGTCGAAGGCTTCTTTGATGCTACCAAAAAGTCAAGACGGTGTAACCCAACTGTCCGAGTGGTCACCGATCTCAGAGCACTGGACTGAGCACTCAAGGGGCGTCACACAACCACTCGCTCAGAATCCGTTATGAAGCTATCAGCGTCTTCCTCACGTATGCACCAATGACGACCTTACTTTTCTTTCGTATTCACACGAGGAAATTAGGGCAGTGCAACAGTTGTTCCGCTAAAAAGCACCTGCAGATATCCTGACCCTTTTTGAAATTAGTAAATCTGCGTCCCCGAAAACATGACGTGCATACATCGATGTTTCAAAAATCATAGTCTCAAGGACAACTAGTATTTACCAGTACCAATGCAAACGAAACAGTCAAGTCTGCGACGGTCACAGAGGAATATCCCTCCTTAATACTTCTGATAAACTATTAACCACGGTTCCACTTCAATGGCCAAAACCACACCTGGGTCAGGGACTCCTTGAGGAAACACAAATCGAATTCCACAAATATGGCGGAAACAAGTACACGAACTTCGAAGACTTCCAGCTGCAAGAAAATTTGTAGAAAATGCGAGTCGATTTGTAAACGAATTTTTGGTCCGTGAATTGCCTTCAAAACGAAAAGACGCGATTGACAATGGATAATTGTGATAAGAAGAAGAATAAGAAGCAATCACCGAAGCATAAGGCCCTTCGTCTAGCGACCGCTTCTTCTTCTTATTAACTAGTGCCTGGAACTCGTATCTTCGCTTGTACCGGTAATGGATAATTGTATTAAATTTCGAAAGTCGGGAGCGATTTATGCAGGTGGTGGCGCAACCAAAAGTTTTGATGACGGGGTAAGTTTCGAAGGTATTA